AATAGGACATCAGACGCCAGAAAATTATGGTTAAATAAACGATGTACAGTCTACACAGTGTATTTAACTCGGCATTGGCATTAATCACGGTCGAGAACTCTAGATTAATAATATCCCCTTTACAATACACACCCGTGGCTACGCATGAATATACAACAACAAACTTAAGTGCGATCAGTATAAAGTGAGCAGTGGTGAACAACAAGTCGCATTCGTGACACAAAGCGTGAGGCCACAACCAGTGTGGCAGACTGAAACATCTGCCCAGGCATTTCTAAAAACACCGGGCTATGGACAATTGTTGTGTTTTTATTTTAAATGTGGCTGCGCTACCAAACTGCACACGAGCTGCACACCACAGTAAGGTGAGCACAGTAGGGAGATGTTGCCATGTAACGCGGTGACTTTGCCAGGTGGTGATAGTGGTGGTCGTGGTGATGATAGTGGTGTTGATAGTCGTCGTGGTGACGTCACCGCCACTTAGTGGCGAATGGCGGTTGTTGTTGGTGGTGGTCGTGGTGATAGCGGTGGTGGTCGTGGTGGTGATAGTGATGATGGTCGTGGTGGTGATAGAGATGGTGGTGGGGATAGTGGTGGTGATGATATTGGTGGTGGTAGTGGTGATAGTGGTGGTGATGAGACTGGAGCGTGCTACGAAGAGATGGGACCTTACCATCAGCCCCACCGAAACTAAGCACCTGCCTGGGTATTTTGTACCATCGGACACTCCACCCCCACAACTCCCAATCGGTGATGGGGCAGTTGTGGAGAGAGTGGAGAGTTTCCCATACCTGGGCAGTGTGCTTATGACCGGCTCCAGTTTAATAGCAGAGGTCTCACTCCGAATCAGTCGAGCGGCAATATCTTTTCATCGGTTGTGTAACGCTGTGTGGAAGCTACCTGGTCTGTCACTCCGCACTAAGCTTCAGGTCTTCTCGGCCACGGTCATTCCCTCCCTTCTCTACGCTTGCGAAACGTGGACCCCCATAATGGAACATCTTCGCCGGTTAGAAACATTTAGGCTGGCCTGCCTACGATCCATCCTGGGTTTAACCAGGCTGGATTGTGTGAGGAGCTCACAAATCCTTGAAAGATCTGGGAAAGGTCCCATCGGTGAGCTCCTCCGGCAGGCAAGGCTGCGTTGGCTAGGTCATGTAGCCCGCATGCCCAGCCACCGCATGCCGAAACAGCTTTTGTTCGGCCGGATCGAGGGGGGTAAACGGGCGCGGTATGGGCTAGAGAAGAGATGGAGTGATGTGGTACAGGAGGACGTGGAGCTGAGTGGACTTGCCGATGACTGGTACCAGCGGTGTCAAGATCGGCCTCTGTGGAGGAGGCTCGTGAAGGATGCTACTGGGCAGTTGGAGGCAGTCGCCCTCTAACAACAACGGAGGGCGGAGGAGCGACGCTCACAACAACGAGCGGAGCGCCGGGTGGCTAAAGCACAGCAGGTTGGCACAGTAGGGGGCACAGGTGGTGCATCAGCCAGTCATATCAGTCAGTCGACCCGTGGCACCTGGGTCTGCCCCGTGACCTGCCAGCGGGCGTTCGACACTTCACGTGGCCTCAAGGTGCACATGGCCTGGCACAAGCGTCGTGGTGACATCACCGCCACTTAGTGGTGAATGGCGGTTGTTGTTGATTATAATCATGGTGGTAAAAGTGGTAGTAGTGGTGATGATAGTGATGGTGATCGTGGTGGTGGTGATAGTGTTGGTGGTCGTGGTGATAGTGGTGATGATAGTGGTGGTTGTGATAGTGTTGGTGGTGATAGTGATAGTGGTGATCGTGGTGGTAATGATAGTGGTGGTAATAGTGATGGTGGTGATGATCGTGGTGGTAGTGATCGTGGTGGTGATAATCGTGGTGGTGATGATAGTGGTGGTGATAGTATTAGTGGTGGTGATGATAGTTGTGGTAATGATAGTGGTGAATGTGGTGGTGATAATGGTGGTGATATCTGTTGTGGTATTGGTGGTTGTGGTATTGGTGATAGTGGTGGTGATGATAATCGTGGTGGTGATAGTGGTAGTGGTGGTGATGATAATGGTGGTGATATCTGTGGTGGTAGTGGTGATAATAATGGTGGTGTTGATAGTGGTGGTGATGATAGTGTTTGTGATTATCGTGGTGGTGGTGGTGATGGCAGGGGTGGTGATGGTAGTTGTAATGATAGTGGTGATTGTGGTGGTGATAGTGGTGATGGTGCTGATAGTTGTGGTGATTATAGTGATGTTGGTGATAGTGGTGGTAATGATAGTGGTGGTGATAGTGGTGTTGATGATAGTGGTGATGACAGTGGTGGTGGTGATATTGGTCATGATAGTGGTGGTAATGATAGTGGTGGTGATAGTGGTGTTGATGATAGTGGTGATGATAGTGGTGGTGATAGTGATGATAGTGGTGGTGATGATAGTGATGATTGTGTTGGTGATAATTATCTAATATTGGTGGTGGTGATAATGTTGTTGATGATAGTGATATTCGTGGTGATAGTAATGGTGGTGAAGATCTTGGTGGTAGTGGTGATGATGGTGATGGTGGTGATAAGTGGTGGTGATGATAGGCCTGGGTTAAATGTGTAGTGACAGTGCTGACTATATATATTTTATTATTTTATTGTTTCCCTTCAACGTGACTTTACCGAAAGAACCAAGAATATGAATCACTGCAGTCACGAAAGCTTTAAATCAAAATAGTGCCGACTGCTGTACAGCAGCTGCAACTGCAGGTGGACACTTGGCGCACACGCCGCTGAGCATACACGCGGTGTGTGTGTGCCGGCAGGGTGGAGGAACTGGGGCAAGGGTCACGGTAGACCTCGTGGGCAAGCCCCTGGAACCCTCTGGAGGGTTCGAGAAGGGAGGAGGCGCGGCTAGGGCGGAGCCAAGCCGCGCCGAGGGGAACAAAAGCAGCGGAGAGCGAGAGCTCCGGGCTGCCGGTTCTGGGAGTGATCTCGTCTCGTCGTCGCTGTCATCGCCGCCTTCATCACCGCCGCCTTTGCCCGATCATTGCGGGGCCGGACAGCGGTTGGCTGTCTCGGTTCGACGCCGTCGGCGCAACGCGGACAGGGTCGTGTCTGGGCCGGGTCGTGCGGCAGCGTGGTCGTGCGTGAGAGAGGGGGCCGGAGTTGGTGGCGTGAACTCGGCAACAACAATAAAAGGTGGAGGACGATGCCTCCTGCGATGACCTCGTCTCCGACTGAGTGTGTGTGTGCGACGCACGCCACCCGCACTCACACACAAGCCTCGAGCGTTGAGCAGAAGAGGCGCACACACCGACGCTACAAATGTAGAGGCAGTCCTCGGCTTAGAAACACAATTCTTTCCTGAGACCCGTTCGTAATTCGAACGGTTTGTAAGAACACAACAATGTACTGTATTTAAATGCCCATTAAATTAGTTACGATTCAACATCAAAGGGAAGACTTGTTAAAACCATAAGAAATATTGTATATTTGCACCTGATACTGTACTAATTCTGTATCGTAAATAAAAGAAAGTAACGTGATTAGAAAAATTAAAGTTTTGTTTTTTCTTACCTCGAGTCTCGATGCTGGCTTGCTGCTATTAGTGAGCAGCGCCTAAGGCCGACATGGCACACGTGATTCGTGCCACCAACCGTCCAGACACCCACCCATCCGTGCCACCACCCGTCGGGACCCCCACCCATCCGCGCCACCACCCGTCCGGACCCCCACCCATCCGGACTTGAGTTAAATGTGCAGGGAGTCATCGACTTTTGAACATAATTTGTTCCCGAGACCCGTTCGTAAGTCGGAACACAACAATGTACGTAATTTGTTTTAGTATTTATCATATTGAATACGTTTCACTGGTCAGTGATTTTAGTAGAAAGGCGCCATATAAAATAAATGCATTATTATTAAATGCCCATATGGTCAGCGTGATGAAATGTGTCGTGGTTCAACAGAAAATGGAAGCCTTGTTAGACTTGTAAGAATACATATTGTACATTTGCATGTTTAACACTGTAATAAATACTGTATGGTGAATAAAACTTAAATAAAGTAATATGAATAGAAAACAAAAGTTGTGTTTTCACTTACCTTGAGGCCCGATGCTGGCTTGTTGGAAGGAGCGTAACGAGTTATCATCGGCCCCTTCAGAGGCACCGCTCGCTAACAGAGATACAATTTGTGAGCTCCTCACACAATCCAGCTTGGTTAAACACAGGATGGATCGTAGGCAGGCCAGCCTAAATATTTCTAACCAGCGAAGATGTTTCATTCGGGGCGTCCACGTTTCGCAAGCGTAGAGAAGGGAGGGAATGACGGTGGCCGAGAAGACCTGAAGCTTCGTGCAGAGCGACAGACAAAGTAGCTTCCACACAGCGTTACGCAACCGATGAAAAGATAATGCCGCTCGACTGATTCGGAGTGAGACCTCTGCTGTCAAACCGGAGCCGGTCATGAGCACACTGCCCAGGTATGGGAAACTCTCCACTCTCTCCACAAATGCCCCATCACCATTTGGGAGTTGTAGGGGTGGAGTGTCTAATGGTACAAAATACCCAGGCAGGTGCTCAGTTGTGGTGGGGCTGATGGTAAGGCCCCACTTCTTAGTGGCACGCTCCAGGTTCAGCAGCAGCGCCTCCAACTCCTCCTCCGAGTGAGCAGCAATCACCAGATCATCGGCATATATAACATGGTTGACCAATAGGGAGCTATCCCTTGACCGCACCCGGGCATCGATCAGCCTCCAATTGTATCTGTACCAGATGGAAATTCCTCTGGTGCAGCCATCGAAGGCTTTACGAATCCACAATCTTCATCATTCCCATCACCACCACCTTCACCACCATCTTTATCATTCCCATCATCACCACCTTCACCCCCATCACCACCAACTTCATCGGCATGCACCAGTTGCATAATACAGGCGGCCCCCGCTGTTACGTTACAATGCGTCCATGGAAAAGCCGTTGTCGTAAATCGGATCATCATAAAACTGGACAGACAGTAAAAACATCACTTGCTGATGTGTTTTTTTTCCACTTTTATTGGCCGTATTTAACGGAATTTATTAGGTAAACATCTACACAAGCACTTGAGAATAACAAGTGCTCCACACCAGGTCACATCGAAAACCAGATCGACTCTGTTTCAAATGAATCGACCAATCACAAACAATCGATTCCGACTTCCAAACGGAAACGTCACCGCGCGTGTAAAGAAACAACCTTAATAAAACGTCACATGATCGTCATGTGCCCGTTACGCGCAAGACACAGAGCGGTGGCGCGGTGGTTAGCGCCTCGCGCTCCGAACCCGGTGACTCGAGTTCAATCCCGGGCCCCGGCCAACATCAACGGTGAGCGAAGAAATCCGAACCGGTCCCGGGAACCCACCTCGCCATTCTCCTGCCAGCACTGACCAGAGCGGTGAAGTATGGCTAAAAAAAGCCGCTGCCTTCATCTAGCAGCAGATAGACCAAGGATCGTAAATAATCACTATTATTATGACTACACCACAAAGGATTGTTGCTTCTGGAAATAACTTTGTTTTGCGCCTAAAAAACGGTCCCTAACTCAGAGGTGTGCTTGCACAGGCGGCTCCGCAATCTGCGGTAACAGATTTTGGAATTCTTGAATCCATCCGTGTGGCGCTTTTCACTGTCACCCACTCGTATACAGCGCGGTGGGATCCCTCCGGGCCCCCGGGAGGCGTGCGTCATTTCCCGTGATCCTAAACCACTGCTCCTAAAACTCCACAATCGTTTAAAAAACATTCCCCACAATTTGCACTTTTTAACAAACAACCTCTCGTCGCCACACGCGTGAAAATGTCGCCCTCTGTTGTCCTTCCCCCGCACCTCCGATGAGCGCGGTTGGTCTACGTCCTGCGCGGAAGAGGCTCAACGTACACGCCAAATATTTGTCGTCATTGCCATTATCCTCAGCCGTGGTCAATTCACCGCTGGAGGAAGGCCTCGCCACCGGGCAACCAACCCGCGTGCCGCTTCCATCGCTCTGTCGCCCCCGTTCGACGTGCTCCGCACCCACTGTGCCCGTGATTTATCCTTGGAACATTTAACAACCACCCCCCCCCCCCCCCCCAACATTGAAACACAGACAGCTCCACCTGTGACGCAATTAATTGTTCAACAATGGCACCACGGTGGCAAGATTTTAATCCAGCCTCGCCTGGTATGCAGGAGGTTGCGGGTTCGATCCCATCCCTGACGACGTCTGCGCTGCTGCTGTATATTTGGAGTTTGCGTCTCTCTCGCTCTCCCCGTCATCACGAAGATTTTTCTACGCATCCTCCGCTTCTTTCCCTCCACATTTAGAATGAACGTTCCGCGTTTGGAGTATATGGCTGCTAGAAATGTCCACACGGTAAGCCACTTCGCTGAGCTATCACTTGCCGCTGGGTCGCTTCTGAGAAAGCGCTACACAGCTCAAGTGGGGCCTTTCCTGGTGAAATAAAAACGGTAAAACAGGTTTTTTTTTTAGCGAATGCGCCAACTCCATAGGATTCCCGCTAAAGCCACAGTCAATTGATCGCCGACTGGCCCACGGCCACTTCCCCGCACCTCCGTTGAGCACCGTTGGCCACGTACGGCGCTAAATAATGTCAACGTCCACACGCACGCACGCACACACGTGTACAGTTTCAACATACGCACGTACATACACGCGGCCGTGTGAAGCAGCAGTACCAACCTCATGGCGGGGGAGGCAGCAGCGCGCGTAGCTATGGACTGGGTGTGCAGGCGGTGCGTAATAGCATCGGCAGGTGGGTGGGGGTGTAAATCCACTGCTCTAGAGAGTTCAACCCTACTATCCAGACACCATCACTATCATCTCGACTCCCCTGCCACCACCGCCACCGCCGCCGCCGCCACAACCGCCGTGGCCCGGGGCTAAGCCGAGCCCGTCGTCCCAGGCTCCGGTTTAGGCACAGCGGAGCCCGTCCCACCGGGCGCCGTCCCCGAGCCCGTGCCGCCACCGCCGCCACCGGCAGCGGCCGTCGCCCCCGCCACCGTCACCGTCACCGCGCTGCTCGTGGCGCCGGCTCCGCCTCCTGCCCCCGGCGCGCCTGGCTTGCGCAGCACCACCATGGCCTGGCCGTCGGCGCCCTCCTGCTTGACGGCGATGAGCTGCGGCACGCTGCTGCTCCTTGCCGTGACGCCGCCCGGCAAGGACGACGCCCCCACGGGCGCCGGTGCCGGCGCTGCCGGCTTGCCGGTCACGTCGAGCGACGAGGAGGATGACGACGACGACGAGGAGGAGGAGGACGAGGAGGACGAGGAGGAGGGCAGCACCGAGACGGTGATGCCCGGCGCCAGCTTCTGACTCGGCGCGAGCAGCTTCACCACGGTGGGCGTGCCGGTCGTCGCCATCGTCGCCGACAACGATGAAGACAACGAGGCAGTGGCGGATGACGAGGTGGAGGGTGACGAGGTGGAGGAGGACATCGGTAGGATCTGCGTGGGAGAAGTCTGGAGGTTTTTTCGTGGTGGTGGTGGTGGAGGAGGGCGGTGCGTTTGTCTGTGTGGGTGCTCGCTAACAGCACTTGCCCCAACAGTCTATTAAGGCTACACGGGAGATCGCTGTCTTTGTGTTTTGTGCGCATAGCAACATCATCAACATCGTCATTATTCTGTCATCTTCAATACATTGCCATCATCCTAATTTATCCATTACCAATAGCAGCAGCAACATCAACATTATCGTGTGTGTTTGCGTGCACGTGTGCTAACAGCACTTGGCCCAATAGTCTCTTAAGGCTATTACGGGGGATCTTTGTCTTTGTGTGTACGAGCGAGAGTCCCGCTTACTGTCGAATATTTGAACTGGTCCTGGGCCCTCCCCTAGGTCGACTCAGCCTCAAATGAGTAGCTTGTGCGGTGGTGTAGTAAACATCGCCACTGGGGAGACAGAGGCGGCCGGGCGTGGTGCTGGCCACCCACCCCCTCGTGTGCCGTGCCAGCCTTCATAGGTGCTGCTCGCCAACAGCGTTTGCCTCAATAATCTGTTAAGGCTATAAAGGGGATTTTGCCTGTGTTGTCTGTGCGCGCACGTGTGTCTGTGTGTCTGTGTGTCTGTGCGCGCACGTGTGTCTGTGAGTGTGAGATCACCTGTGTGGGGCCGGTGGGGGCCGACACAACGATGAACTTGGGGGGCAGCCCAGACGCGTCGCTCCCCCCCGGCATGGACGTGGAATAGAGCCCCCCCCCCCGAGCCTGGCACCTTGATGATGGTGGAGGAGCGGGTGGGCAGCGCCGTCTGGGGGCTCGCGAGAGAGTGAGGGGCACCGATGGCGCCACGCACCTGGGGGGGTGGGCACAGCAGCGACGTCGGCAAAGCCGTCGTCACTCATCCACCGTCGTCGATAACATCATCGCGATCAAACGAAATCCGTCAGCGTCATCGTCGATGCAGCGTCATGACTCGCAGGCGAGTGAAGGCGTGAAGAGGCGGTGGGCCTCAGGCGGGTACAAGCGCCGTGAACGCGATGGCGGTGAGCCGAAGCCACCCGCGGGCGAGTGAAGGTGAGAGCGCGCGGAGCGGTTGCTGGGTTTACGACGGGGCGACTGAGGTGACGGTGGCGAGTCTGAAGCCGCTCACCTGCGGGTGAGTGAAGGTGAGCGTGGAGCGGTTGAGCTGCAGGCCCTGAGCGGTGGGTGAAGAGGAGGAGGAGCTGACCTGCACGCGGGCCTTGGTGACGTGGGTGCACAGCAGGGGGCCCAGGTGCCCATAATCCGCCTTGTAGGCCTCCGCGCTGTCGGGGCCCGGACGAAGCTTCACCAGCACGGGCGCGCAGTGCTTCTGTTGATCACAAAGCGCAGACGTGTCACCGCCGCCGCAGCACCCCGCAGCCACGCCGCTATACCGCCAACACCACACCACCACTACCATCATCATCCACTACCACCAACCCACACCACCGCCGCCACGCGCACACGCGCGCAATCTTGCGGAGCGAGCGCTCGGCTGACCAGTAGCAGCGTCTGCACGTGCTGTGCCCCGATCTTGTCGATGTTGCTGATCACCGGGCCCTCCAGCACCTGCCGGATGCGGTCGCCCTCGGCGGGGAGGCGCGGGATGACGAGCGTCTTAATCACCTACGCGCGCAGACAGAGAGGCCGTTGGGGCAAGCGCTGTGAGCGAGCAGCGGGCGCCAGCGAAGGTCGGCACGGCGCACGATGGGGTGGGAGATCAGCACCGCGCCCGGCTGCCCTCGTATCCCCAGTGGCGATGTTGACCACACAGCGCACCAGGTACTCAATTGAGGCTGAGACAGTCTAGGCGAGGCCTAGGATCGGTTCAAATAATCGTCACCGGTGTTGGCTGTGAACGGGAATCGAAGTTGGGTCGCCGGGTTCGTAGAGTAGCGCGTGAACCGCAAAACCACCGCTCCACATTTACACAACACACACACAACACACAACACACATACACAACACACACATATACACACAACACACACACACACAACACACACACACACATACACAACACACACATACATACACAACACACACGATAAACACACAACACACACGATACACATACACACAAAACACACACACTATACACACACACACAACACACACGATACACACACACACAAAACACACACTATACACACACAACACACACGATACACATACACACACACGATACACACACAACACACACGATACACAACACACACACAAAACACACACACGATACACAACACACACACATACGCACACACACGATACACATGCACACATGCACACGATACACATGCACACACACGATACACATACACACACACACAACATGATACACATACGCAAACACACAGTGTATTGTATAGTAGTGTAGTGTATAGTAGTGGTGTAAAATAGTGTAGTGGATAGTGGTGTAGTGTATAGTAGTATAGTGTATAGTAGTGTAGTGTATAGGAGTGTAGTGTATAGTAGTGGTGTAAAATAGTGTAGTGGATAGTGGTGTAGTGTAAAGTAGTGTAGTGTATAGTAGTATAGTGTATAGTAGTGTAGTGTATAGTAGTGGTGTAAAATAGTGTAGTGGATAGTGGTGTAGTGTAAAGTAGTGTAGTGTATAGTAGTATAGTGTATAGTAATGTAGTGTATAGTAGTGTAGTGTATAGTAGTGTAGTGTATAGTAGTGTATAGTTGTATGTATGCATGTTGAACTTCTGTCACACCGCGCTAATCGGTGGTGCAGCATCAGAAACGGGGTCAGTGCGACGACGTTCCGCTGGCCTGTTACAGCCAGCCCGATTGCTTCTGGCCGTCGCGAAGGGGAGCGGAGGCGGCGGGTTGGGGGGGGGGTTGGGGGGGCAAGGGAGTTGAGCGGGGAGGGGCTCACGTCGAAGCCGAGCTCGGCGAGTCCCGCGATGCAGCCGTAGCGTGTCGTCCACGGCGTCTTGTCGTCGTGCAGACTCTGCGACACGCGTTCCACAAAGTCAAAAAGGTCCCCCGTGGAGCCACGACGGACTGCTGGGGCAAGTGCGGCTAGCGAGCAGCGAGCACCTACGAAGGCCGGCACGGCACACGAGGGGGTGGTGGGTGGCCAGCACGATGGCAGACCGCCGTTGCATCCCCACCGCTAGTCACAAGCAATGCACACACAGACAGTTTGCGCGCTTGGATATGAGAGTTGCGCTTTTATAAATTAACTTACTTACTTAACAAATAAGACGCGCACAAAGGTGAGTGGAGTTTGTATGATCTCTCCCTGTTATACAGAGTGTGAATGAGTGGAGTTTGTATGATCTCCCCCTGTCCTGCAGGGTGTGAGTGAGTGGAGTTTGTATGATCTTCCCCTGTTCTGCAGGGTGAGTGAGTGGAGTTTGTATGATCTCTCCCGGTACTGCAGGGTGTGAGTAAGTGGAGTTTGTATGATCTCCCCCTGTCCTGCAGGGTATGAGTGAGTGGAGTTTGTATGATCTTCCCCTGTTCTGCAGGGTGAGTGAGTGGAGTTTGTATGATCTCTTCCGGTACTGCAGGGTGTGAGTGAGTGGAGTTTGTATGATCTCCCCCTGTCCTGCAGGGTGTGAGTGAGTGGAGTTTGTATGATCTCTCCCTGTCCTGCAGGGTGTGAGTGAGTGGAGTTTGTATGAACTCTCCCTGTCCTGCAGGGTATGAGTGAGTGGAGTTTGTATGATCTCCCCCTGTCCTACAAGGTGTGAGTGAGTGGAGTTTGTATGATCTCCCTCTGTCCTGCAGGGTATGAGTGAGTGGAGTTTGTATGATCTTCCCCTGTTCTGCAGGGTGAGTGAGTGGAGTTTGTATGATCTCTCCCGGTACTGCAGGGTGTGAGTGAGTGGAGTTTGTATGATCTCCCCCTGTCCTGCAGGGTGTGAGTCAGTGGAGTTTGTATGATCTCTCCCTGTCCTGCAGGGTATGAGTGAGTGGAGTTTGTATGATCTCCCCCTGTCCTACAAGGTGTGAGTGAGTGGAGTTTGTATGATCTCCCCCTGTCCTGCAGGGTGTGAGTGGAGTTTGTATGATCTCCCCCGGTCCTGCAGGGTGTGAGTGAGTGGAGTTTGTATGATCTCCCCCTGTCCTGCAGGGTGTGAGTGGAGTTTGTATGATCTCCCCCTGTCCTGCAGGGTGTGAGTCAGTGGAGTTTGTATGATCTCTCCCTGTCCTGCAGGGTATGAGTGAGTGGAGTTTGTATGATCTCCCCCTGTCCTACAAGGTGTGAGTGAGTGGAGTTTGTATGATCTCTCCCTGTCCTGCAGGGTATGAGTGGAGTTTGTGTAGAGGTGTTAACTACGCGCTGTTGCGTAACCTGCATTGCCACCAGGGCAGTGCAGCATTACCCCTGGGTACAACGGTTGGGATCAGTCGAGGTGAAACGGATCGTGGCCAGGGTTTGGTGCGAACCAATCAGACGGTTCCACGTGGGAATGTATGATTGGTTCTACCTGGCCACGAAGGGGTATAAGACGGGTGACCCAACGGACCTCGGGGAGTTCTCTCCCTGCACGAAGATAGAAGACTGGGCTGAAGCCTAGCTAGGACCCTGGACCAGCCTTTCAGCCCTTCTAAGGGCTAAGGCTCGGCATACCCAGTGGTCAGGACCCACCGGGCCAGCGGTGGGTCAGATAGCCTCCCCTAGGTCCTAGCCGGAGGACTAGGATAGCGGTAGACGTGTGAGTCCTGCCAGGTCCGGAGGCTGTACCTCCCTAGGGTATCGGGTGAGGGGACCGAATATCCCTCTGTGTGTGTTAAGCGTTGTAATCCAATAAACAGAGTGTGACTTCCTAAAGAAGTCTGCTCGTCCTTACAACACTACAACTGGAGTCAGAAGTGGTTGAAAATGGAAACAAGAAGTTCCGCCCACGCGCGGAGCCAGAACGAAGAAAATGGTGTCTCACCTGCGAGCACCGCCAGCTCCGCTGAAAATGCTGCCGCGTTGACCGCCGCCCAGCCACCGGTTGAGCAGCCGGTTGCTCCTCCTGCCATGGGGGACGGACTCAGGGCAGCACACGGCCGTCTCGCCCAACTCCTACACGCCGCGGCCTCCATTCTCGAAGAGATCAACTTGGAGGTTGCGGGCAGGCCGAGTCAACTGCCGGCAGACGTTCCCGCCATCGGCCAAGGCGGACATTTTGATTTTCCCGCCAGGGAACCATGTGATCCCGCTGGAAGCGGAAGCCAGGGGCATCCTGGGAACGCGGGGGGGCAATCACAACCCGCAACGTCATCAGCACGCAACGCTGAAAATTCAAGTTCCTCAGCGGACGCCGCGTTATCACTGTACCGACATGGTACAGTAGACCCTGTCGGCCGGGAAATCACCGATCTCCGGTTCAAGACGCTGCCAGCTGAGGAGGAGACGACGTCCGCCCTCCAACAACGCCTGCCCATCTTCCGGGAATTCGTATCTGAAGAGGGCGACTGGGCGGCGTTCCAGCGTCGCTTCCTGAGCCACCAAGAGATGGTGGGCTGGTCGGACGTACAAGCGCTCTGAGCGCTACCGGCCACTTTGGACGACGACGCTCTCGCCTCGCTCCTCACCATCCCCAGGCAACAAAGGGCGACTCTTCAATCGGCCCTCCGACGGATGTCCGACATCTACGGGCCTCCATCCGACGTCCGCAGCCGATTTTACGACAGGCGACGCCGCCCTAAAGAGTCTCCGTTGGCATTCCGGACCGCTTTACTGGTGATGGCAAGAGCGGGTTACCCTCGCATGGACGACGAGGCCATCGACGCCATCGTTCTCCAGAAGATGCTGGAGCGGGCGCACGAGCTGCGCATCGTCATCCAAGCAGTGGACGACAGTATGTGCTCGCTACGAGCCGCTCGGTGCATCCACGCACATCTGCTGCTCCACATGGAATCGACCATCGCCGCCTCGGCTTCGACGTTGGAGCCTGCCAGCAGGGACGCCGAGTTATCCCCCGACCGGGCCTTCATGGCGACCAGGTCAACGGGCCGGCGACCGTCCGACCACGCTGGTCGCCGCAACGACCAGCAGCGGGGACGGCCTTCTCCACGCGGCGACGTGACGTGCTTCAACTGTGGCCGACGAGGCCGCATCTTCGCTGACTGCCGTGCGCCTCGACGACGCCCCTCCGCATCCCGGGGCCAGGACTACAGGACGTCCACGGCATCGCGGCAAAACCAGGCAAGTCGCGACGCCTCTCACGCTCGGCCCTCATTCACACCATACACACTGCAACGCACCATAAGAAGGGCTCGCGATTCGGCGTGTGATGGGGGGTATTCTGGTGTTTGTTCGCGGCCACTCGGACCTGGGCAGTGGTCTGAGTTGGCCCATAGGGTAGTCGCGGCGACTGCAGGTTCGTCCGTGGTTGTCGGATCAATCGAGGGTGTGGAATTTCGCGTGTTGGTTGATACTGGTGCGTCGGCTACGATCATTTCGGATTTGATTTACAATATACTGCCCGTACGATGCCGCCCCTTGGAACGGGTTTCTATCCCGTGTTTCGCCGCTAATGGCAGTTCACTGGGCATTATTGGGCAAATTCGGGCGCAAATTTCGATTGGAGACATTAAATTGGCAGGGCCTATTTTGGTCTCTTCTTCCCTCGCCGTGCCGTGTTTGTTAGGCACTGATTTTCTCGCGAAAATGCCTATTAAGATCCTTGTAGATCAAGGCAGAATCGAACTCCCGTCGGGTCGACGGATGGCGTTCTTGCCCACACCCTCACATCCGCGCATGGCTAGTGCCTCGGTGCAGGCGTTTGTCGCGAGCACAGTCCGCATTCCGCCAGGGACACAAATGCTCGTGCCCTTGCAACTTAAAAAACCGCTAGCCCCGGATGCCTCGGCACATGGCATTTTGCTGGGGCCTTCAAACGCAGCTGCTAAGGGGTTAGATTTGGTGGCTGCACAGACCCTCGTAGCAGCCGACAGGGAGCCGTTCTTGCAGGTTTTGAATGTCGGATTGTCCACAACCGTCATTCCGCAAGGAACTGTGCTCGCTCACGCGACCCCGGTGCCGTTGGGGACCGGAGTCGCGGGACACGTGCATGACACACCGCAGGTCCCACCTCCTTCCGAATCGGATGAGAGATGGTTGGACGCGCTCTGCACAGACACGGGTGATCTGTCTCATTCGCAGCGAATTAAATTGCGCGCTCTTCTGTGAGAATTTTCCGATGTCTTCAGTAAATCTAAATTTGATATTGGCTGCACCAAGCTGCTGCGTCACCACATTGATACTGGTGACGCTGCCCCGATTCGACAAAACCCGTTTCGGCTTAGCCCGGCGGAGAAACAGCATGTTAAATCGGCTGTGGATGACATGCTGGAGGCCGATATAATTTCTCCCTCCACTAGTCCCTGGGGTGCTCCAATAGTGCTGGTCAAAAAGCACGATGGCAGTCTCCGTTTTTGCGTTGATTTTCGGCGCCTAAATAAAATCTCGGTAGCGGACGCCTACCCTCTCCCTCGTATGGACGAGTCATTGGATGCCCTGGCAGGGGCGCACTTTCTCCACCTTGGACCTTCTGTCGGGGTTTTGGCAACTCCCCCTCGACGAATCGTCAAAACCTAAGACTGCTTTTCGGACACCACAGGGCCTTTTCGAGTTTAATAGATTGCCCATGGGTCTCCACTCGGCCCCAGCGACGTTCCAGAGGCTCATGGAGCTGGTCCTCGCTGAGTTCCAGTGGGACTCATGTCTCATTTATCTTGACGACGTCATCGTCTTTAGCCGCACGTTCGGCGAACACATGGAACGGTTGCGTGCTGTCTTCTTGAAAATGCGGGCCGCTAACTTGAAATTCAAGCCGCAGAAGTGTCACCTTCTGCGTGAGTCTGTGCGCTATCTGGGCCACATAGTTAGCCGCTCGGGTATCTCTACCGACCCTGAAAAAAACAAATGTGTTCAACATTGGCCGACCCCTACATCTGCGGGTGATGTTCGCAGTTTTATTGGTTTTGCGTCGTACTACCGCCGGTTTGTTGCTGGCTTCGCGACGATTGCCAAGCCGCTCCATGCCCTTACGTCAAAAGGGGTGGTGTTTCATTGGGGGGACGCAGAACAGGCTGCGTTCGACTCCTTGCGGAACGCGCTCGTGACGGCACCGTCCCTTGCGTACCCCGATTTTTCCGTGCCATTCGTGTTGGACACCGACGCTAGCAATACGGGGATTGGGGGTGTTCTGTCCCAAAAAGTTGATGGCATTGAAAGGGTTGTTGCCTATGGTAGCAGAGTCTTGTCTCTTGCTGAACAAAGATACTGTGTGACCAGACGTGAGCTGCTGGCCATTGTTTTTTTGTTATTCAGCAATACAGGCCGTACCTGTATGGTCAGCATTTTACCGTGCGATCTGATCATTCGGCTTTACAGTACGCTCTGCGGGTTGACCAACCGTCCGGGCAGCTTTCTCGATGGCTCGAAGTCCTTCAGGACTACGATTTCAATGTCACTTACCGTAGGGGTGCACAACACACGAATGCCGATGCGTTGTCTCGCCTCCCGCCGGCTCAAAAATGTGCGTGTTTTTTGGGCTCGGGCCGTTGTAAGCCGCCACTGCCTGCGCAGGTCGCGCCTCTCACAACGGTGTCAGCCGCACTTCCCGCCGCCTCAGCGCCGATGTTGGATCATGCAGATCCAATGGCCAGTGACGATTTGCTGGGGCTAACTTTGGCCGAATGGGGTCGGCACCAGAGCGAGGACATGTCGTTATTGAGGTTGCGTCGCCACGCGAATAATGCGGTTCCAAGACAGGGCAAATTTAATTCATTTGTCATGAAGCACGGCTTGTTGATGCATTGGGATGCTGACTCGTGTCAACATAAAATCGTTGTGCCATCCGCCTTGCGATGCAAGGCCGTATGGGCGGCGCATGAGCGTTTATTGCACCTGGGTGTTCATAAGACCATTGGGTTGTTGCGGTTGCAATTTTTCTGGCCGGGCATGCTGCGCGACGTCACTGACATTTTGCTGGGATGCACCCATTGTGCGCAACGTAAACCGCCGGCTAAACTGGCATGTCCACCCCTGCAACCCATTTCGGTCTCTCGTATAAATGAGTTGGTGGCTCTCGATATTTTGGGCCCTTTTCCTACTACGCCACGGGGTAATAAGTACCTTCTGGTTGGGGTAGAGTATTTTACACGGTGGCCTATGGCCTGGGCCCTCCCCAACCAGTCGGCGGCGGCCGTTGTGGACGCCTTTGTTCAGGGCTACGTCCTGGACAAGGGCGCACCAGAACGGTTGCTGACCGATCAGGGAAGAAATTTTTCGGGAGCCTTGCTGAATGATGTGTGCCGCCTGTTGGGCACTAAGAAAGTGCGCACTTCGCCCTACCATCCCCAGACCGACGGCATGGTAGAGCGCCTTCATAGAACTCTCACCGCTATGTTATGCCATCAGGTCGATGAATCCCACCTCAATTGGGACTTGCAGGTTCCGGGGGTCCTCGCCGCATACCGTATGGCACCTCACGCGGCGACGGGATTTTCCCCGTTCTTTCTAATGTACGGCAGGGATGCCTTTCCTCCCGCCGACGTTTGGCTGGAAATCGAACAGCTACCGCAAAAGTCAAAGCTCGTTGACCACTTGCGATTCAACCTCCGTAAGTTGGCCGAGGCACGGGAGGCCGCCATTGAAAATTCGGCTTCCCGCCAACGGGCGAATTTGCGACTACGGGACCCTCGGACGTACACGCATCGGTGGGCACCGGGAGACAGGGCATGGCTCCACTGCCCCCAGGTGCCGGTGTCCACGTCGGCCAAACTCCTCAGACCATGGCGAGGCCCGGTTGAGGTAGTGGAAGTCCTGCGTCCCCAATGTGTTAAAATTAGCTGGGGACGGCGTCGCTGGTGCGTTCACCCCTCTCGGTTAAAACCCTTTGTCACGCCACGCGTCCCTTCACAACACACACGACACGGGGGCCGAGTGTGCGACGCGTCCGACGAGCCGGATGTTGCCCCGTTGGTGCCTAACCCACAGCGCAGGCGCGTCATTCCTCCTGCAGATGACGCGGGAGTGACGGCTCCATGCAGGCCACGTTCGGCCTCAATGGACCGTGGAGCAGCAGGTGTCCCCGTGGAGATGCCTAAAGGCCCACCGGATGCTCTGGCTCATCCTCCTCGTTCCCTTGTGCCGCCGACAAAGCCTGCCATCCCCTACGATGGTCCCGCGAAACACACGCGCGCGAAATTTCGCCGGTTGTTATAATGTTTTTTTGGCATGTCTAGTGCCTTGTACATACGTTATGTTGTTAAGGGGGGTATTTATAGGGGTTTTATTGTTCTTGTTCTTGTTGTTCGTGAGGCACACTCACAATTCTTCTACCGTTGGTAATTTCGGAGTTTCCCATTGTTGCAGCCGGGACGGCTGGAGCTTCCGAAGGAGGGGGTGATGTAGAGGTGTTAACTACGCGCTGTTGTGTAACCCGCATTGCCACCAGGGCAGTGCAGCATTACCCCTGGGTACAACGGTTGGGGTCAGTCGAGGTGAAACGGATTGTGGCCAGGGTTTGGTGCGAACCAATCAGACGGTTCCACGTGGGAATGTATGATTGGTTCTACCTGGCCACGAAGGGGTCTAAGATGGGTGACCCAACGGACCTCGGGGAGTTCTCTCCCTGCACGAAGACAGAAGACTGGGCTGAAGCCTAGCTAGGACCCTGGACCAGCCTTTCAGCCCTTCTAAGGGCTAAGGCTCGGCATACCCAGTGGTCAGGACCCACCGGGCCAGCGGTGGGTCAGATAGCCTCCCCTAGGTCCTAGCCGGAGGACTAGGAGAGTGGTAGACGTGTGAGTCCCGCCAAGTCCGGAGGTTGTACCTCCTTAGGTATCAAGGAGGTTAGCGGTAGACGTGTGAGTCCCGCCAGGTCCGGAGGCTGTACCTCCCTAGGGTATCGGGTGAGGGGACCGAATATCCCTCTGTGTGTTAAGCGTTGTAATACAATAAACAGAGTGTGCCTCCTAAAGAAGTCTGCTCGTCCTTACAACACTACATTTGTATGATCTCCCCCTGTCCTACAAGGTGTGAGTGAGTGGAGTTTGTATGATCTCTCCCGGTACTGCAAGAGTGTGAGTGTGGGGCCCTCCTGAAACCCTCGAGACTTTGCGAGGCCTCTGCCGGGTCAACGGAGCGCAACTGCGACAGCAAACGAGGCAAGCAGCACCTTCACGAAGGTCTTGGTCGAGCGGGACTGGATGTTGTTCGTCGTGGAGCTGAAGTTCTTGCAGATCTGGGCCATGAGGCGGGCGGCAAAGTCGCGCAGGGCCCAGTGGTTGTCCACGTCGGGGCGCAGGCAGAGCTGCCGGCTCACGATGCACGTCACCACCGCGGGGATCAGCTCGTGCAGCTGCACACGGGGGCACATCAAGACAAAAGATTGGGCGCCGCGGTGGCGGGATGTTAACTGGATCACCTGGTATGCAGGAGGTCGTGGGTTCGATGCCGACATGCTGTATAAATTGGGTCCTCCGGATTTTCCCTCCACATTGAGAATCAACACCGTGCGTTTAGAGCATTTGGCTGCGGTATATTTCCATAAGATAAGCCACTTCATTGGGCTATTGTTCTGAAAAAGAGCGAAAAAGCTCAGTGGGCCTTACCTGGTAAAATATAGTTTGAAGATTCAGATGCGCTTTTGCGGCCGTCTGGAATGCTCTTCCTTCCAAACTCGGGCCGCTGGGTTCATAGTGCAATGCGCTAACCGCTGCGACCACCACTCCCCACATACGTTGTCAGGTCCCGCTCGTTGCACACTAAGTGCACGCCACAAATGAACCACAGTACCTCGCTGATCTCATCAAGGAGCATAAACCAGATTTTAAATTTTAATTCTACTCTCCCCCCTGGCTCCTCCCCCCCCCCCCTCTTGCCTTATACAATATCCTTGTTACGAGCAACGCTTGTCTGCTCCAGCAAATTACTTCTTGCTGTGGACTATCCCACCTGATGACGGAGGCTTGTGTTGCTTCCGAAACGTCATGATTTGATTAACTTCATTTTATTTTTTACCTACGTGACTTTACCGAAAGAACCAAAGAGTATGGTGCATAAACCATCACGTGAACTTCGCTCATCCTCGCAGTGGCCTTTGGCTAATCATCGGACAAAGACGGTCACCGGCAACGCGCACTCAGAGGTGCGTTTCTGTTGCTGTCTGGAAAACTGTTCCATCCGATATTAGGAACATCACTGGGAGCAATGCACTTTGAAATCATCATCTAGATTGAAAACTTCCATTTCTTTCTTAACGGCTTTTCGCATTCCGTTTGTCGCCCTTCCCATACGCCTCTGATTAGCGCTGTTGGCTACGTACGGTGCGAAATAAGTTTAACATGCATACATACAGTCATCCCCCCCCCTATATAGCCTTAACAGACTATTGAGGCAAGTGCTGTAAGCAACAATGGAGGCCGGCAAGGCACACGAGGGGGTGGGTGGCCAGAACCACGCCCAGCTGCCTTTGTCTCCCTAGTGGCGATGTTCACTACACACCGCACCGGGGGGGAGCCCCAGGATCGGGGGGAGACCCAGGATCGGGGGGAGACCCAGGATCGGTTCAGATAATCGTGACCGGTATTGGTGGCCATGAGCAGGAACCGAACTTGGGTTGCCGGGTTCGTAGTGGAGCGCACTAAACACTTTGCTACACACGCACAGATATGCGCAAACGTACAAACACAAAGATCCCCGGTGTTGCCGTTCAAAGGCTGTTGAAGTATGCAAACACACACACACACACCCACAAAACGCAGCAAAACACACATGCGTACAAAGACAAAGATCCCCCTTTATAGCCTCAACAGACTTTTGGGGCAAGTGCTGTTGGCGAGTAGCACCAATGAAGACCGGCACTGTGGCAGAGGAGGGGGGTGGGTGGCCAGCACCATGCCTGACGCACGGAGCCACAGACACACAAAGCAACATCATCCTGCGCCCATCCCCATTCAGCGCCCGCCATAGCCAGCACCGGTCTCTCCTATCTCCTACTGAGGAAGCAGAGGAAGCAGTGGCAGCGTGGGGGGGGAGGGGGGGTGTTCACAGGAGCTCACGTATTTCTCCAGGTAGAGGGTCTGGTTGTCCAGCAGGGCCTTGGTCATCCTCATGAGGTAGATGAGCAGAGCCAGGTTATTCTGAGCGACGTTCACGCGCACCTGCAGGAGCCGGAGGGTAGTGCACAAATAGCAGTGTCAGAGACAATGGGATCCTGGGTTCCGGCCTGGAGCAGCTGAGGCTGCCGCATGACGAAGCCGAGTGTTACGAGTGCCCGGAGGAGCGAGTTGAACTCACTCCCTCAGAGATGAAGGTGCTGAATCGTGGCAGCATCTGGTACAGCCCCGGGTCGCTAGCGATGCTCTGCAGTGCTTCCTGTAACACAGACAAAGATCCACCGTATAGCCTTAACAGTATGTTGGGACAAGTGTTGTTACAGAGCGCCGCAGAAGGCTGACATGGCACACGAGGGGGTGGGTGGCCAGCACCACGCCGGGTCGCCTTTGTATCCCCATTTGCGATGTTTACACACCGCACCAGGTACTCATGTGAGGCACGCACACATGACAAGAACAACAACTGCCATTTGCCACTAAGTGGCGGTGACATCACCACGGCGCCTGTGCCAGGCTATGTGCACGTTGAGGCCACGTGAAGTGTCGAACGCCCGCTGGCAGGGCATCACGGGGCAGACCCAGGTGCCACGGGTCAACTGACTGAGACGACGGAGATGACTGGCTGATGCACCACCTGTAACCCCTACTGTGCCAACCTGCTGCACTTCAGACGCCCAGCGCTCCGCCCATTGTTGTGAGCGTCGCTCCTCCACCCTCCGTTGTTGTTGGAGGGCGACTGCCTCCAACTGCCCAGTAGCATCCTTCACGAGCTTCCTCCACAGAGGCCAATCTTGACACCGCTGGTACCAGTCATCGGCAAGTCCACTCAGCTCCACATCCTCCTGTACCACATCACTCCATCTCTTCTCTAGCCCGTGCAGCGCCAGTTTAGCCCCTTCTATCTGGCCGAATAAAAGCTGTTTAGGCATGCGGTGGCTGGGCATGCGAGCTACATGACCCAGTCAAAGCAACTTTGCCTGCCGGAGGAGGTCACCGATGGGACTTTGTCCAGATCTTTCAAGGATTTGTGAGCTCCTCAAGAAGGGAGAGAATTACTGTGGCTGAGAAGACCTGGAGCCTCGTGTGGATTGACAGACCAGGTAGCTTCCACACAGCGATGAAAAAATAATGCCGCTCGACTGTTTGAGAGTGAGACCTCTGCTGTCAAACTGGAGCCAGTCATGAGCACACTGCCCAGGTGTGGGAATCTCTCCACTCTCTCCACAACTGCCCCATTACAAATTGGGAGTTGTGGGGGTGGAGTGTCTGATAGTACAAAATACCCAGGCAGGTGCTTCGTTTTGGTGGGCCTGATGGTAAGGCCCCACCTCTTAGTGGCAAGCTCCAGGTTCAGCAGTAGCGCCTCCAACTCCTCCTCTGAGTGAGCAGCAATCACCAGATCATCCGCATACGTAACATGGTTGACCAATAGGGAGCCGTCCGTTGACTGCACCCGGGTATCGATCAGCCTCCCATTGTATCTGTACTAGATGGAAATTCCTCCGGTACAGCCATGGAAGGCTTCACTAACAACGTGGTCAAAACAGATGTTAAGTAATGTGGGAGCCAGAGGACATTCCTGTCGCACCCCAAGGTGTACAGGGAATGGCTCTGACTCCCAGACACGTAGTTTTACCCGGGCCCGCTCACCATCATGTAGGTCCTTAATGATTGTGAGCAGAGTCAGGGACTCTGAAAGCACGAAGAACAACCCAGAGCCTAGGCCTACTGATGGTATCATAGGCCTTGATGAGGTCAATAAAGCAGAGATGTAGGTCTTGTTGGAATTCCCAACACCTCTGCTGTAGCAGACAGGCAGACAATATGGCATCTGTGCAGGACCGCCCTTTCCTGAAAATGGCTCCGCAAGCCTCTCCTCAGCGTGCCTGGCAAGGCGATGTTGAATAAAAACCTTGTCAGGACCTTTCCCGGCACACTGAGGAGTGAGATGCCCCTGTAGTTGTTACAGTCTGTGCGGTCCCCCTTCTTAAAAAGGGGGACCACCAGGGCATCCTTCCAATCCTGCGGAACCCGTCCAGTGGTCCAGACTGTTGTTATGATGTCATGTAGGGCAGTCTGTGCATAAACGCTACCCTCCTTTAGCATTTCACTTGGGAGATCATCCCTGCCTGGTGCCTTTCCTGATCTCAACTTGGGATCGCCTTCAGTACTTCCTCAACAGATGGCACCTCAGCCAGCCACTCGCAGGCGGTAACTCCTTCTTCCAATCTTGACTTAAAGCTTTCGTGACTGTAGGAATTCATATTCTTTGGGCCTTCCGGTAAAGTCACGTAGATAGATTCAAAGATGATGACTGCTCGTGTTGCGATCGAAACTTCGTAGTTTTAGTCATTTTCTTTGAACCTATCTATGTGACTTTACCAAAAGACCCAAATAATATACTTCTTCCAAAATTTGAGGCACCCCAGCCTCAGCAGGGTCTTCCCCACTTTACCCCATGATGTTTTCCAGGCTGAGGGATTTTACCCCCCCAGAAGACCTCACAGAATTGCTCAGCAAATCTTAAAATCTGTTCCTGGGTATCGGAGATTGGATTCACCCTTCTTTCCCCTAATGATGGAGATAGGTGTGGCGTTGCAAGTAACTTTTTTGATGGCACTGATGCAGAGTCCATCTCCTCAGCAACTGACGCTGTGGATTTTTTTGTGTGGGTTTTTTGTTTTCATTTTTATTTTCTATCGACGCGACTTTACCGAATGAACCAAAGAATATCTACATGGAGTCGTTTTTTGTTCACAGCACAATGTCACGGTTCATGATCGATCTCCTGGGGTTAGGCCACACGTGACAATGCGACGTCAACAGAAACCACCAAACACATCCAATCCAATTAAACTGCCACGTGTACAAGCTAACCGGCTGTGTGGCTAACCGGCTGTATGGCTAACCGGCTGTATGGCTAACCGGCTGTGTGGCTATCCAGCTGTGTGAATATCCGGCGGTGTGGATATCCGGCGGTTTGGCTATCTGGTGGTGTGGCTATCCAGCTGTGTGGATATCTGGCGGTGTAGATATCCAGTTGTGTGGCTATCTGGCGGTGTGGATATCCAGCTGTGTGGATATCCGGCTGTGTGGCTATCTGGTGGTGTGGCTATCCAGCTGTATGGATATCTGGCGGTGTGGATATTCGGCGGTGTGGATATCCAGCTGTGTGGCTATCTGGCGGTGTAGATATCCGGCTGTGTGGCTATCTGGCGGTGTGGATATCTGGTGGTGGGTATCCAGCTGTGTGGATTTCTGGCGGTGTAGATATCCAGCTGTGTGGATATCCGGCGGTGTAGATATCCGGCTGTGTGGGTATCCAGCTGTGTGGATATCCGGCGGTGTAGATATCCGGCGGTGTGGCTATCTGGCGGTGTGGATATCGGGCTGCGCGCGTCACCGCTCGCTTGGACTCGCAGGAGCCGACGCAGGCCTCCGTGATCTCCTTGTAGTAGAGCTGCTGCTCCACGGAGAGCTCGTGAGTGGCGCGCGCTTTCACGCGCACCGCGGCGCCCTCCGCTGGCACCTTCCTCTTGTCCTTGCCTGCGCGAGACGCGGCGGGAGACGGGGCAGAGGGGTAGTGCGTGGGAGACGGAGGGAGAGAGGGCATGTACGCATGGACGCATGTTTGTTTGTACTCTGAAGTTCTTTCGCGCCGTACGCAGCCAAGCCATGCGATTCGGAAGTGCGGGCTCACTGAAGTTGCGGACAGACGGGGCAAGGGAGTGGGTGAGAGAGGCCTGGTGTTCGTGGGACAGAGGGTGTGAGTGGGAATCGAATTCGGGTCGCCGGATTTGTAGAGCGGCGTGCAGACCGTAACCAAAATTATCCCACCAAGACAAAGAATCCCTAGTGCCTATTTTTTTTAAACCACACCAGGTACTCATTCGAGGCTGAATCGACCTAGAAGAGGCCCAAAACCGGCAGGAGGTCACGGGGCAGACCCAGGTGCCACGGGTCGACTGACTGAGATGACTGAGATGACTCCCCCCACACCCGCCCGCACACACACGCGTGCTCACACACACGCCTGCTCACACACACACGCCTGCTCACACACACACACGCGCGTGCTCACACACACACACGCGCTTGCTCACACACACACACGCGCGTGCTCACACACACACACGCGCTTGCTCACACACACACACACGCCTGCTCACACACACACACGCGCGTGCTCACACACACACACGCGCGTGCTCACACACACACACGCGCTTGCTCACACACACACACGCGCGTGCTCACACACACACACGCGCTTGCTCACACACACACACACGCCTGCTCACACACACACACGCGCGTGCTCACACACACACACGCGCGTGCTCACACACACACACGCGCTTGCACACACACACACACGCGCGTGCTCACACACACACGCGCGTGCTCACACACACGCCTGCTCACACACACACGCGTGCTCACACACACGCCTGCTCACACACACACACACACGCATGCTCACACACACACGCATGCTCACACACACACGCGTGCGCACACACACGCGTGCTCACACACACACGTGCTCACACACACACACGCGTGCTCACACACACACGTGCTCACACACACACACGCGTGCTCACACACACACACACATCCACACACACCCTTGCCGTCGGAGGGCCCGCTCGTGGAGGCCTTGTGCCCAGGCTTGAGGTTCCCGTCGCTCTGTCCGGGCTTCATGATCCTCATGGGCTCCGTCGCCTCCTTCTTCTGCTGCTCCTTAGGCGCTGGGGTTCGGGGGTGGTGGGAGGGGGGTGGGGTGGGTGTGATGAGGGATGCAAAATTAGTTGGGATTATGGTATTTGTGCAGGACCGCCCCAGCCTGAAGCCACATTGATCCTCCAAATTCAATCCCAATAGGTTCCAGTGATTACAATGGACAGAATGAGTGACCCCCGGACTGTGCACACTAAAAATTACTCAAGTAAACACCCTGACTGTGAGAACACGGGCCGAATGGCATATGAATCTGCTTAAATAATACAAACATACAGCCAATGCCCTATTAACCGGCGTCTGTCATAGTCTGCAAGACGAATCTTCCTTCACGTATCCGGAAACATTCCGGCAGCCATCCGGCATCTTGCCCGTGCACTTATCGTAGGTCCGTTTCTTTTTATTTCCACGGGAGCTTCGGGATACTGCCGTGTGGTGGTGCCAGCGGCAGTCTGTGCATACAGTTTGTCCGTCCATCAAAGGGCGATGATGACCACGGCACACTTCATTGGGATGAGTCTGGGGCACGGTGAGAAGGCAGGTGACTGAAAAGGCCAACCTGAGCCCAGAACACTCCTATGGCACACTGGACATGATATGTTGGTCGCAGCCTCCTGGGGGACGGGTCTCTTGATACGGGCCTTGCGCCGTTGACTCTTCGGCATGGCAGTAGTACAGTACATACTGTAATGTACTACTGTACACTGTACCCTAAACAGCCCCACCGCTGCTCTATATTGAACTTAAAGAATACTCTACAACCGACTGGTGAGTGCCTTTTGTAAAAAGGGCATCTTGTTATTATTTCTTCTGTCATCGTAAAAAAAAAATTGTCACATTCGTTTCTTTACTGAAAAGTGTTTCAATGCACTTGTAAAATTTGGTGAAGCATAAGTCGAACATACTTCATTAACAGGCACCCTTCATTGCTCCCCGTGGACGCAGGATCACGCAGCTTTAGTTGTACTGCGCTTGGGTAACCAGGAAGGTCTCACCGAGTGTCCCACGACTCATTTTCAGGAGGGTCCTGGCCAAGTTTTCGCAGTGGGTGGGTAGGGGGGGCAACGTTCGCAACGTGCAATCACAACTTGAGTATACTTTTACATTCTTTTGAATGAATTTAGACCGTGAAGCCGGCACACAGCGGCCTGCTCTTGCGAATGACGTCACGGGATCTTCACCGTCCGCTGTAGGGCAGGCGGTGCGTCGTTTTATTGTAACGGTTAATGCTCACGCAGAATGAACCCCCTCCCATTTAGAGGACGTGCGTGTATGCCATCGGTTCTTCTTCCGATTCCATTCCGGTGAGGTACGTGTTAAACGAAGATGAAATAACTTCAACGGTACGCCTTCCGGTCTTCAGGTCGGGAGACATTCCGAGGCTCCCACAAGGCCATGCGGGGGAGGTGCGTGTGGCACGGTTTGGCGCCGGCAATTGCAGAGAGCGGTCGTGTCGCTACCATTCTCTGCGGTGAGTATGATGTCTTTAAAAACAAACGGCCGCGATGCTCTCTCCAAATAAAACGAACGCCGAGTTGCTCGCACGTTCAGAGATTCGGCGGTGCGCGGGACACCTACCCTGTAACGTGCAGACGTCTCGGAACGGGTTGATCACAGCGACCGCTGGATTCAAACCGCGAACCTCTGAAGCAAGCGGCGAACGCGATACCACAAGGCCACGTCATGGCCTCTATACGCGTGGGGAGTGGTCGTGCAGCGGATAGCGCACCGCACTACGAACCCAGTGATCCGAGTTCGAGTCATAGCCAATAACAGTGACGGTAATTTGAATCGATCCTGGGTCTCCCCCGAGGTCTGGCACGGTGTGTAATGGAACATCGCCACTAGGGATACAAAGGTGATCCGGCATGATACTGGCCACCCGCCCCTTCGTGTGGCATGCCGGCTTTTATAGGTGCTCGCTAACAGCACTTGCCCCAAGTCAGTTAATGACTATACGGGGGATCTTGGTCTGTGTGTGTGTATTCTTTGTGGTGTAAATACTCACTGGGAGGAGGGTTCTCAGGAATGGACGGCTGAACACCCTCAATGCTCAGCCAGTGAGCTGCAACACATCACAACGCACCATCAGAGTCAAGTTCAAACGATTTCTTATTTTTAACTATTTTACCAGGTAAGGCCCACCGAGCTGAATAGCTTTTTTTCAGAAGCGACCTGGTCACAAATGATGTCTCAACGAAGTGATTTATCACGTGGAAATGTATCGTAGCCCAATACTTAAAAATAGATGTTGATTCTAAATGTGGAACTGGAGAACAATCCACGTGGCCGCGGGGAGAAAATGCAAACTCAAAATATACAGCAGGCGTCAGGGTCGGGATTGAACACATGACCTCCTGCCTATCAGGCGAGGTAGTTCACATCTCATTTCCATGTGATAAGCCACTTCATTGAGCTATCGTTTGTGGCCAGGTGTCTTCAAAAATAGCTCTATAGCTCAGTGGGGCTTAGCAGGTAGAATACAAAGTTAGTTTGCGAGTACTTGGTCATAAACAGGATGCTGACATTGAACATGATGGTGATCTTTTGACACGCTTTTATTTAACTCACTCTGTCTGTTGTTGTACCCTCAAATCTTGTAACTCAATTTTAACCCACTTTCCAATGTGGTATCGACTGCAAACTTGGTATACTTATGGCATACCGATGGCAATACTATATTCTATCATAAAAAATAAAAGCACATATTTTAAAACATTACTTTTTAGATGTTATGTTTCTGCTTGGGTCTAATTGTCCACGGTAAACTGACGTTGGCTGTAAAATCACCACGTTCCCCTTACGCCATGGTAAGCTTCGGAGCCACTTCCTGGAGTCGTGGAGTTCTGCCATTACTACTAGTACATTTCATTAAAGCGTGTTTTCGAAAAAAGCATTTATAAATATTACTTGTTTAGAGAATGTAAAGTGGTTTTTTTTTACGTTGTTGTCCTTGCCCCGTACCTCCAATTCACACGGTTGGCTACATAAGGTGTCAAAGTTCCACGTACATACATTCAGCGTCGACATGATGCAATCGACTGCTGATCGCGATGTAGATGACGCATTGTGCTCGCCGCGAGTGATAAACACTTCGTAGCGATGACGGCAGCGGCGGCGATGACAATACTTCGTACAGCGTGTACACAGAGCCGTAACACCGCTCCCACCACTCGTCATAAACGTAACGATGACGTTCACGACCAAGCACTTTGTGAAGTGCGCATGCAAGCATGCGTGTGTGTGGGGATTGGGGTGCAGGGGAGCTTAGGGCCAACACCAGTGACAATTATCTAAATCCGTCCTGGGCCTTCTGTAGGTCGACTCAAATGAGTACCTGGTGCAACGTGCTAACATAGCCACTGGGGAGACACAGGTGTCCGGGCGTGGTGTTGGCCACCCACCCCCTCGCATGCCGTGCCGGCCTTTATAGGTGCTCGTCGCTAACAGCACTTGCCCCAAGTCAGTTAAAGGCTATACGGGGGGGGGGGGGGTCTTCATCTTCTGGAGGGGAGTGGCAATGAACCCGGCGACCCGAGTTAGAGTCACGCTCACGGCCACCAACACCAGTGGCCATTACGTGAATAGTCCCCCTTAGCACCCCACGCACGGGCTGATTTCATTGCTCCATCTCCTCGGTGCGTCGTGCTATCCCCCGAAGGGTTCCATCAACCTTAGCTGCCGCCGAGTCGTTCGTCCCAGCCGCCTGGCATCGCCGCTTCTGGCCCTGACGTCTCCCTACCAAAGCCCACTCACATCCCTTGAACACTCTCAACGATGCCGTTAACCCGCGTGCTTCCTTGTAAACCACGTGCTCCTCTCTCATGTGACAATTATCACTGACACCAGCGACGTCCTGGGCCTCCGCTAGGTCGATTCAGCCTCAAATGAGTACCTGGTGCGGTGTAAACATCGCCAATATGGAGACAAAGGCGGCCGGACGTGGTGTTGGCCACCCACCCCCTCGCGTGCCGTGCCGGCCTTCATAGGTGCTAGTCGCTAACAGCACTTGCCTCAACAGTCTGTTACAGGCTACACGGGTGATCTTTGTCTTTTGTTTTTGGGGGGGGGGTGTACATGTGTGGGGGGGCTCCCCTGCCCACCCTTGAGGCTGATGTCGAGAGGCACGCGGGGGAGAGGCGTGTTGATCATGTCGCTCAGGTTCACTTCCTGCTCCTCGTAGAAGAACAGCTCCCGCCCTCCTCCGCTCGCGTAGCGGAACGGGATGAACTCGGCCGACTGGAACCCGTACAGTGGCTGAACACGCACGCGCGCGCACACACACACACACGACGATAAATAAAGACAAAGATCCCCCGTATAGCCTTAACAAACTGTTGGGGCTAGAATCGTTAGCGAGTAGCACCTATGAAGGCCAGCACGAACACACACACACACACGCAAGCACACGCATGTGCGCAGGCAGGCGAGCACACAAACACCAATCTATATTGTTTCACCAGTTGCTAAAATAGATTGCAAACCAAGAGGTCACAATCTTCCTGCACAGTAAACAGCCTGGTTTTTCGAGAGGATTACTGTACCACCACATCAATGATGGATTTATTACATTTTAGCTTGGGTAACATGGATAAAAGCCACTCTACTGCTGTGAACTATTCCTCGGCCTGTCGAAAGCATTCCACATTGTTGACCATGATATTTCTACTGACAAGACTTGCTCGACTAACATTTTCAGACGATACAATGAGATCACCACCTCTCAGACCGTTTTCAAACGGTACATCGTGATAACGTCTAGTCCACAATTTTGTTTTAATGACAATGGTTGTTCCAGAAGGTTCCATGTTGGGTCCAATTCTGTTCTTGTATTTAAGCAACGTTGGAATAATCTTAAATCACTCATAATTCAATCTCTTTGCTGACGACAACACCATGCTAGTATTGGATACATCCCGTGAGAGGGAAACGTGGGTCGCCGGGTTCATAGCGCAGTGTGCTAACCGCTACTCTAAACTACTGCCCCCCACTACACTACCGCTCCCACGGGTGTGTGTGTGTGTGTGCGCGTGCTCTCACCGGGCAGATGAGCGCACACACACAAGCGTGTGACAAAGATCCTCCGTACAGCCTTAACAGACTATTGGGGCAAGAGCTGTTAGCGAGCACCTTTGAAGGTCGGCACGGCACGCAAAGGGGGTGGGTGGCCAACACCACGCCCCGTTGCTATTGTCCCCCTAGTTGCGATGTTAACACACCGCACCAGGTACTCATTTGAGTCGACCAAAGGGAGGCCCAAGACCAGTTCAGATATAATCGTCACTGGTGTTGTCCGTGAGCGGAAATCGAAACCAAGTTGCCAGGTTCGTAGTGCTGGCTTATACAACAACGGCCATGCGCCATTAAGTTGCAGCGACGTCACCATGGCGCTTGTGCCAGGATAAGTGCACTTTTAAGGCCACGTGAAGTGTCGAACGCCCGCTGGCAGAAGGTCATGGGACAGAGCCAGATGCCATGGGTTGACCGAGATTGACTTGCAGATGCACCACCTCACACGTGCATAAACACACGGAAGGGCAGGCTCACATAAACTAACGTCCATAAGCACCTACACACAAGCAGGTGCACAAAGACACGAGACAAAAATCACCCGTATAGCATTACCAAACTCTCAGGGAAAGTGCTGTTAGAGAGTAGCACCTATGAAGGCCAGCAAGGCGCACGAGGGGGTGAGAGTGCCCAGCACCACGTCCAGCTGCCTTTGTCTCCCTAGTGGCGATGTTTACACATCGCACCAGGTACTTGATTTGAGGCGGAGTTGTTCGAGGAGAGGCCTAGGACCGTTTCAGATAATCGTCACTGGTGTTGGCCGTGAGCGGGAAACGAACTCGGGTCACCGGATTTATTTGGCAGCGCGCTAACCGCTGCACTGCCGCTCACGCAGGCACAAAAACAAAGATCCCCCGTATCGCCTTAACAAATTGTCGGGGCAAGTGCTGTTAGGGAGCACCTAAACAGCACGCGAGGGGGGTGGGTGGCCGGCACCACGCCCAGCCGTCTTTGTCTCCTCAGTGGCGATACGCACTGCACCAGGTAGTAACTTGAGGCCGAGTCGACCTGGGGGAGGCCCAGGACCGCTTCAGATAATCGTCACACGGTGGTGTTGGCCGTGAGCTGGAATCTAAGTCAGATCGCCATGTTCGTAGCGCAGCGCCGCCAACCGCTACACGGACACGTCCAGGTGGACACAGACGCACACCTACCTCAATGTTGCGTATCTTCAGGGCGTGGTCTAGGTCGGATGTGCTCAGTTTTCTCCGCTTGCCGTGGCGCATGAATTTGGCCGCTTCCTGCATTCACACGTCACCGACATCAAGAACAGCAAATACCGAAAGGAAATAATCGGCCATCAGCATTATCAACACCAAAATCAATGTCAATTATCTCACCACCATCAATGGCAACATAACCATCAACAGTCCTGCTGCAGTGGTGAGATGATAACTACCTCGCCTGGTATGCAGGAGGTCGTGGGTTCAGTGCTGACCCTGATGCCTGCTGTATATCTGGGGTTTGGATGTCTCTCTCCGCATGGTCGTGTGGATTTTTCTCCGGGTCCTCCGGTTTTTCCCCTTCACATTTAGAATCAATGTGCTGTTTAAAGTATCCGGCGACTATTAGCTTCCACACGTATGTTGCATTTATTTCGCACGTAGCCAAGCGTGTTAATCGCAGGTGCGATGATGATAAGCCACTTAATTGGACTATCATTTGTGGCCAGGTCGCTTCTGAAAAAGAGCTACGTACCTGGTAAAATATTTTTTTAAGTTTTAGTTTTATTCTCAACTAAGTAACCCTTTTCCATTCTGATGATGTACGTGTACGTCATTCCGTTCCGGAATCGTGAGAACACTAAAGTAAAATAACTCTTCTTTGGTTCTTTCGGTAAAGTCACGTAGAATGAGAATAAAATAATAAATTAATAAAATAACACAATGAAATTCTCACGACGTTTCGGCCACAACACAAGTGGCCTTCTTCAGGTGAAGGGAACAGACCTGTCGGGAAAGGAACAGACCTGTCGGGACGACATTGAAGCTCCGTCGTCCCGACAGGTCTGTTCCTTTCACCTGAAGAAGGCCAATTGTATTTTTATTTTTTGATTTAAAGCTTTCGTGACTGCAGTAATTCATATTCTTAGTTTTTTCGGTAAAGTCACGTTGAAGAGAAACAACAAAATAACAAAATATATATAAAACAATAAAAAAATTCTCACGACGTTTCTACCATAACTCAAACGGTCATCATCAGGTGTGTTGGTTTGCATAAAAAAGTTTTTATTTCTAAACGGCACATTTATTTATTTATAAAAAAAACGTTGGCGTCACACGCAGCGATTTGGCAGTTTGCCCAGGACTAGTCCATCTATTTTTTTTGAAAAGAGGAGGGGGGAGACGAATTTTTTTTTTATAATGTATGCTGTCTGAAAGCCACTGTAAGCGTGAACAATAAATTAAGAACTGAAATGGTTTATCAAATCTTTCCAATGATTGCTAAGATAGAATCCATCTTCTCGGTTGAAATTGTCTCTGTGCTTGTATATGTGGATAGCCTCATGAACGAATCTCTCATGGAAGCCAGATGGCTTACAAAGAACCTCCGTCTTGGAAAAGTCAATGGCATGTGAGCCTACTGAATTAGAACAATGATCTGCTACGGCCGAGGTGTTGGTCCTACCGTGTTTAAGGTCTGCTTTATGTTCACGAATGCGATCCGAGACATGGCGTTTGGTTTCTCCAATGTAACTACTACCACAGAGGCAACTTAGTTTGTAGACACCAGGGTATTGTATGTCCGGAATCACATCTTTTACAGACGGAACCAGATCACGGATTTTATGTAATGTGTTGAAACGGACCTGGATCTTGTGTTTATTCAAGATTTTGGAGATCTTTTTTGTGATCCCAGCAATGTAGGGTAAAGTGATGGTTTTGAAAGGCTCCTCAAGAGGGTTCTTCTTCATGGTTTGAGTGATAGCTTTGCGGATTGTATAGTCGGAGTAACCATTAGCCCTAAGAGCTTGGTGTACGTGCTTGAGTTCACTGCTTATGTGTTCCTGGTCGGATATGCATTGGGCTCTATGATACAGAGTCTTGATGAGAGAATTCTTCTGTGATGGATGGTGGTGGGAATCCGGTTTCAGATAAGCATCCGTATGGGTAGCTTTCCTGTAGACAGAGTGGCTCATTGAACCATCAGGTCTCTTTTTAATTAGGACATCCAAAAAAGGTATCTTGCCATCTATTTCGACTTCCATGGTAAATCTGATGGCTGGGTGTATGGAATTGATGTGGTCGAAGAATTGGTCTAGAGCAGGCCGGCCATGTGGCCAGATGACAAAAGTGTCATCCACGTACCTCTTCCATAAGGTTGGGCGCAGAGTGGCAGTCTGGATGGCGTCAGTCTCAAATTTCTCCATGAAAATGTTAGCTATAACTGGAGAAAGGGGGGAGCCCATTGGGGTGCCCTCAGTTTGTTTGTAGAAAGTTCCATTCCAAGTGAAGTATGTATTGGTTAAACAGTGTCTCACCAGGGGGGGTACCTCAGTGTTTAGTCCTTGATGAACCAAGTCTTCAATGATTGCAATGGTGTCAGGTACAGGAACCTTGGTGAATAAGGAAACTACATCAAAACTGACAAGCAGGTCGTCTGGGGACAGGGAAATACCCTTGATTGTCGATACCAGGTGAGTAGAATTTTGTACCGCAGAGGTGGTCTTTCCAGTGAAAGGACGCAGGATTTCAGACAAAAAACGAGCTAGTTTGTAGGTGGGGGAGCTGATAGTAGAGACTATGGGACGAAGAGGTGTATCAACTTTATGTATTTTTGGTAAGCCGTATAATCTTGGTGGCCTGGCAGCAGAAGGTTTCAACGAAAACTGTTTAGATTGATCAATTAATGCGGTTGAATCAGAAATTATTTTGTTGGTTTGTGTGACGAGGCTGTTGGTGGGATCTCTTTTTATTTTTGTATAACTACCATCGTCGAGTAATTCTTTAATTTTGTTGTTGTATTCTATTTTATCCATGATGACAGTAGCATTGCAAACCAACACACCTGATGATGACCGTTTGAGTTATGGTCGAAACGTCGTGAGAATTTTTTTTTTAATTGTTTTATATATATTTTGTTATTTTGTTGTTTCTCTTCAACGTGACTTTACCGAAAAAACTAAGAATATAAGGCCACTTGTGTTGTGGCCGAAACGTCGTGAGAATGTTATCGTGTCATCTTTATTTATTTATTTATTATTTTATTCTCATTCTACGTGACTTTACCGAAAGAACCAAAGAAGATGAATCCTTGCAGTCACGAAAGCTTTAAATCGAATTAAAATAACTCCATCGGTACATCTTCACGTTAGAAGACGTACCGGGACTCCCACAAGGCCGTGCGGGGAGGGCGTGCGGCCAAGTGCGGTGCCAGCCGTCACAGAGTGCGGCGAGTAACAACGTCCTTGAAATCAACGGCGCTAAGCCTCCCCAAATCAAATCAACAGAGCCGCTTGCACGTTCCGAGCTTTGGCGGTGTGAACGGGACACCGACCCTGCAACTTGCGGACAGGCATCTCGGAAAGGGGATAAAAAGAGCGAACGTGTGGCCCCCTCACTTGCGACAGCTCCTTGAGTCGGAAGCCGACCTCCTCTGCGAGCAGCTGACACGCGTCCTCCGACATCTGCGCGAGTCCCACGGACTCGCCGATGAGCTTCACCGACTCGACGGGCAGCAGTGTGCCGCTCACGCGCGACTTCTTCTCCTCCGCCATCGCCCCTCGTGCCAGGCACAGCCGCGCTACGCGACGACGCACGGACAGACGGGGGTGGCGGGGGCAAGGGTTACAGGGAGATGGGGGGGGGGGGCAGGGGGTACAGGAAAATGGGGAGGCAAGGATGTATGTTGAACTTTTTTCGCACCGTACGTTGCCAACCGGGGGTGCGGGGGAAGGACAATATACAAGCACAGAGACAATTTCAACCGTGAAGATGGATTCTGGCTTAGCACTCATTGGAAGGATGTGATAAACCATTTCGGGTCTTCATTGATTGTTCACGCTTACAGTGGCTTTCAGACAGCATACATTAATTTTTCGTCTCCCCCCTCCTCTTTTCAGAACATAGATGGACTCTTCCTTCTGAATAAACTGCTAAATCGCTGCACGTGGCGCTGACGTTTTTTTATAAATAAATACACCATTAAAATAAATAAATGCGCACCGACACTTCTTTCAAATGTTTCTTGCCGTCGGTTTTTTCACACCTGATGACGACCGTTTGTGTTATGGTCGAAACGTCGTGAGAGTTTTTTATTGTTTTATATATGTTTTATTATTTTATTGTTTCCCTTCAACGTGACTTTACCGAAAGAGCTGAGAATATGAACCGAAGAAATTAGTTTTCAATTTTTATTTAAAAGTGCACAGCTCCAGTGGCTCTCTGACCCGCCCTGCTGGACATCCGTGAAAAAGAGCTTTATAGCTCATTGGAATCCCCCCGGCATAAATGAAGATTCTCATTCTGGCTTCCAAACGTCAGAAGGACGAGCGTTCCGGAAGGCGGCCGAAGCGCTGCTGTAAGCGCGCGATGCAGTGTCCCGCCTTTGTTCGATAGCCAGCCAAAAGCCGATGCTGCGAGGATGAGCACCTGAGTGTCACGTGATGGTTCGTGCTCCTTGACGAGATCAGCGAGCTATTGTGGTTCATTTGTCGCGAGCACCTTGCGCGCAACGAAGATGTGTCTGTCATACTGTGTAGGAACCTCCTGGTTACTACACCACCACCAGCACACAGGGGATTATTGTGTCCGTCCGTCCGTCGTGCATCCAAACATGGGAGGGGTGGGGCTGGGTGGGGAGGGTGGGGAGGGGCTGGGGTGGGGAGGGGAGGGTGGGGAGGGGCTGGGTGGGGAGGGGAGGGTGGGGAGGGGCTGGGTGGGGAGGGGAGGGTGGGGAGGGGAGGGTGGGGAGGGGCTGGGTGGGGAGGGGCTGGGTGGGGAGGGTGGGGAGGGGCTGGGTGGGGAGGGAGTGGCTGGGTGGGGAGGGGGCTTGGTGGGGAGGGGAGGGTGGGGAGGGGCTGGGGTGGGGAGGGGCTGGGTGGGGAGGGTGGGGAGGGGCTGGGTGGGGAGGGGCTGGGTGGGGAGGAAGTGGCTGGGTGGGGAGGGGAGGGTGGGGAGGGGCTGGGTGGGGGGTGGGAGGGGTGGGGGCTGGGAGGGGTGGGGGCTGGGAGGGGTGGGGCTGGGTGGGGAGGGGCTGGTCACCCCGTGGTGCCCTTATAAAACTCAACGTTTAACCTACTCCCGCCGGCTTGTGCCCGCCCTCACAGTCGGGAATATTGTACGGAATACACCACGTGGTGGTGCCGCCGTTGACCCTGGCCATTGACCGAGCAACCCAACGTTCCTACTACCAGCTCCCTCCGCAGGAGAATGTGTTACACAAGTGGAACAGACAGTGTTGTGTATCTAAAACAAGGCGTTGGCAACCTGCAGCTCTGGATCTGCATGCGGCTCTTAAAGGACTACTTCGTGATGCTATATATTAAGGACACACATTTGCGGCTCTTGAAATATTGCGTTTTCTTTTACAGAATTACAAAAGTGCCCCCGTCTGGAATAATCACGGCGGACCCGAGATCTAGGTGATGGCAGTGGGCTCGAGTGACTGTCCTTGATCCAGCAGTGGACCGAAGTTCGCTGCGCTGCTCTGGTTTAGCAACACTGCGTTTTGCGGCACTCGGGAGGCCCGGTTTCAGAGTATTTACTTATACTGGATGAATCACGATGAGCTATAAAGCTCTTTTCCACCGATGTTCCAGTCGGGGGAGGTCAGAACATTTCAACAACAAACAATACAAACAACACGACAGCATTACGAGACCTCCTTTGCCAGTAACAAGATATAGTAATAGGTTTTACCCTTTTAACTGGCCCCTCACCACCCTCCCCTCCCCACCCAGCCCCACCCCTCCCATTTTTGGATGCACGACGGACGGACACAATAATCCCCTGTGGGCTGGTGGTGTAGAAACCAGGAGGTTCCTACACAGTAAAATGTAAAGTGTGTGGTTCGGAAACAATTGAAGGAACCGGGAAAGAGAGGAAGAGCTTGATTTGAAGCTTTCGTGACCGCAGGAATCCAAACTCTTTGGCTCTTTCGGTAAAGTCATCACGTGGTAGGTATTTATTTTATTTTATACCTACGTGACTTTACCGAAAATAACCAAAGAGTATAGAGGAAGACCTGCTAACAGAGAATGGGTTGACAACGACGACGACATCATAAGGAGGGATCGGTGCCAGAAAGATGTGGCCACTACATGAGCCATATTGGCACTACGAGCGAGAGGAAAGTGGAAGCAATGAAACTGGCAGCGGACACCTATGGGGCTATCTGCCCATGGATCGTGCTGATACACTACACCATACACTACGTTATACACTACACTATTATACACTACGTAATACACTACACTATAATGTGGCACAACTTGAGCATATTGGCATTACAAGACAGAGGGCAGTGGAAGCAGGAAATTACAAAATGTGCAACAGACACCTATGGGACTATCTGCTGCCCATGGATCGTGGTGATGATAGCACTACACTACACACAACTATACACTACTATATACTACACTATACACTACACTACTAAACACTACTAGACACTACAACACTATACACTACACTATTATACACAACTATGCACTACACTATACACTACACTATACACCACTAAACACTACAACACCATACACTACACTATTATACACAACTATACACTACACTATACACCACTAAACACTACAACACTATACACTACACTATTATACACAACTACACACTACACTATACACTACGCTATACACTACACTACTATACACTACGCTATATACTACTATACACTACGCTATACACTACACTACTATACACTACGCTATACACTACACTACTATACACTACGCTATACACTACACTACTATACACTACGCTATACACTACACCACTAAATACTATATACTACAACACTATACACTACACTATTATACACAACTATACACTACACTATACACAACACCACTAAATACTATATACTATACACTACACTATTATACACAACTATGCACTACACTATACACAACACAACTAAATACTATATACTACAACACTATACACTACACTATTATACACAACTATGCACTACACTGTGATGTGGCACTACTTCAGCATGGTGGCACTACAGGACAGAGGAAAGTGGAAACAACACATGACACCATGTGCAGTGGACACGCTCCAGGCACTCTGCCCGTGATCATTCAGTTGTATTCTTTTACCATTCAGTTTCATTTTATTTATACTCTATACAGTATATATAAAAGGCAAAGTTGTGATTATGTCTGTCTGTTCAAAATGTTTAGCGTACTTCCCGACATGCAACAAAAGTGAAATTTGCCATGTGGGTACTTTCCAGACTGTACACCATGCAAAAATTATAAAATTACACTTTTTTGGGGGGGGGGGGAGGGTGAGCTTAATAATGCATTTTTTTTTGCACGGCAAGTGAGCTGTCACGTCAAATCTGTCACGTGACCCGCGCATGTGGAAGCGTAACGCATTGTAGTGTAGCGGTTAGCGCGCTGTCTGTGTGTGTGTCTGTGTGTCTGTGTGTGTATCTGCCTTGCCAGGCAAGCTGAGGAGAGGCTTGCGGAGCCCCAATGCGGTTTCAGGAAAGGGCGGTCCTGCACAGATGCCATATTTTCTGTCCGTCTGCTACAGCAGAGGTGTAGGGAATTCCAACAAGACCTACATCTCTGCTTTATTGACCTGGTCAAGGCCTATGATACCATCAGTAGGCCTGGGCTCTGGGTTGTTCTTCGTGCTTTTGGAGTACCTGACCCTCTGCTCACGATCATTAAGGACCTTCATGATGGTGAGCGGGCCCGGGTAAAACTACGTGGCCGGGAGTCAGAGCCATTCCCTGTACACCTGGGGTGCGACAGGGATGTCCTCTGGCTCCCACATTATTTAACATCTATTTTGACCACGTAGTTCGTGAAGCCTTGAATAGCTGTACCGGGGGAATCTCCATATGGTACAGATATAATGGGAGGCTGATCGATGCCCGGGTGCGGTCAAGGGATGGCTCCCTATTGCTCAACCACGTTATGTATGCTGATGATTTGGTAATAGCTGCTCATTCAGAGGAGGAGTTGAAGATGCTGCTGCTAAGACTGGAGCGTGCCACTAAGAGGTGGGGCCTTACCACCAGCCCCACCAAAACTAAGCACCTGCCTGGGTATTTTGTACCATCGGACACTCCACCCCCACAACTCCCAATCGGTGATGGGGCAGTTGTGGAGAGAGTGGAGAGTTTCCCATACCTGGGCAGTGTGCTTATGACTAGCTCCAGTTTAACAGCAGAGGTCACACTCCGAATCAGTCGAGCGGCAATATCTTTTCATCGGTTGCGTAACGCTGTGTGGAAGCTACCTGGTCTGTCGCTCCGCACTAAGCTTCAGGTCTTCTCGGCCACGGTCATTCCCTCACTTCTCTACGCTTGCGAAACGTGGACCCCCCTAATGGAACATCTTCGCCGGTTAGAAACATTTAGGTTGGCCTGCCTACGATCCATCCTGGGTTTAACCAGACTGGATTGTGTGAGGAGCTCACAAATCCTTGAAAGATCTGGGCAAGGTCCCATCGGTGAGCTCCTCCGGCGGGGAAGGGTGCGATGGCTGGGTCATGTAGCCCGCATGCCCAGCCACCGCATGCCGAAACAGCTTTTGTTCGGCCAGATTGAGGGGGCTAAGCGGGCGCGGCAGGGGCTAGAGAAGAGATGGAGTGATGTGGTACAGGAGGACGTGGAGCTGAGTGGACTTGCCGATGACCGGTACCAGCGGTGTCAAGATCGGCCTCTGTGGAGGAGGCTCGTGAAGGATGCTACTGGGCAGTTGGAGGCAGTCGCCCTCCAACAACAACGGAGGGCGGAGGAGCGACGCTCACAACAACGAGCGGAGCGCCGGGTGGCTAAAGCACAGCAGGTTGGCACAGTAGGGGGCACAGGTGGTGCATCAGCCAGTCATCTCAGTCAGTCGATCCGTGGCACCTGGATCTGCCCCGTGACCTCCTGCCAGCGGGCGTTCGACACTTCACGTGGCCTCAGGGTGCACATAGCCTGGTACAAGCGTCGTGGTGACGTCACCGCCACTTAGTGGCGAATGGCGGTTGTTGTTGTTGTCTGTGTGTGTCTGTGTGTGTGTCTGTCTGTGTGTGTGTCTGTGTGTGTCTGTTTGTGTGTACGTGTGTCTGTGTGTGTGTCTGTGTGTGTGTGTGCAAGCGTAACGCATTGTAGTGTAGCGGTTAGCGCTACGCCGCGCTACGAACCCGGCGACCCGAGTTCGATTCCCGCTCACGGCCACCACAACGGTGACGATTGTTTCAACCGCTCCTAGGTCGACTCAGCCTCAAACGTGCGGTGTGAACATCGCCACTGGGGGAGACAAAGGCGGCCGGGCGTGGTGAATCCAAGGCCCGGGCGAAGCCGGGTAGCTAAAGCTAGTTTGGTTCTAACCCTGTGAGCCATGGCGGCTCTTGACTCAGGTGCCACCGTAACGAAACACACAAAAAAAACATGGACAAAGATAAACATCTTAAAGAGTGACAACACAAAAAAACGTGGACAAAGATAAACATCTTAAAGAGTGAGAACACGCAACAGAAAGAATCCTGGGGGAAATAAAAAAATGATTTAAAGATTTCGTGACTGCCGGGATTCATATTCTTGGTTCTTTCGGTAAAGTTACGTAGAAGAGAAATAATAAAACAAAATATAATTGAATAAAATTCTGACGGACGTTTCGGCCACAACGCACGCAGCCGTCCTCGACGTTTCGGCCACAACGCACGCAGCCGTCATCAGGTGACCCGAGGACGGCTGCTTGCGTTGTGGCCGAAACGTCGTGAGAATTTTAATTTATTATGTTTAATTTTTTTTATTATTTCCCTTCAACGTGAATTTACAGAACGAACCGATAATACAAAAAACTATTGATTAAGGCTATAAATATGCTTAGCATTCAATTAAAAAGACGCTTTACAGTACGGCTAATACTACAAATGCTCCATAACGTAGGTTTGTTAGTGGTAAAGTTTGCGTTAATATCATTGTGTCGTTAAACCCGTCCACCACCCAGCCAATTCGTGAAGGTTTGTCGCGTAAACGGAACGCGCCAATTCGTTACAGCACTCCGGCGTGCTGGGTGAGCAATTTCCACGACGTTTAACAATCAAGAGTTCGACGTTTCGCCAGTGATTACGACCGGCATCATCAGGCGTACAGGCAGATAATAAAGATAAAGATCCCCCGTGTAGCCTTAACAAACTGTAGGGGCAAGTGCCGTTAGCGAGCAGCACCTATGAAGGCCGGCACGGCACACGAGGGTGTGGGTGGCCAGCACCACGCCCGGCCGCCTTTGTCTCCCCAGTGACGATGTTTACACATCGGACCGGGTACTCATTTGAGGCTGAGTCGACCTAGGGGAGGCCCAGGCAGATGGACACTCTCACGCGATCAGCCTCAGCCATGCTCGATCCACTGCTAATTGAAGGCCGTCGCCCCCACCCCCTGGAATGTAACACATCGGGGATTAACACATCGTCTGAAATGATGTGTACGTAGGAGACAATGGCTAGCAAGCGTTAGTGTTACTTTGATTGTTTAGTAATAATTTATATTAAAAAAACCGTTTTTAATCGAGGACTTTCTTACCGAGTTTTATGTTGAATCAGATTGGACGTGAGGGGGAGAAGCGTTTCCCCAAACCTCCGAATGGTTTCCCTTGATACCTTTACGTCGGTAGAAAACCAAACTTTATATATATATATTTTTAAAACATTTTTTATTCCGTTTCACATTTAACAAAACACTTTTACTCTGACGGCGCCACGCATAAAATAATCGGGGCCGATCGTCCCCATCAACAATAGCCCGTGGGTTTCCTAGCACCCTTCATCGGCCATCTTAGGTAGGGGGGGAAAACAGTGAAACAGTGACATCATCAGCTGCTCATCCACTGTCCAATGGGAACTTACCCCTGAGCAAGATGGCCGCCACAAACTCCCCCTCCCTCATTCCACACAACGCCCCCCCTACCCCGCCCCTCCCTATTCCGCCCCCATACACCGCCCCCCATACCCCGCCCCCCGTCCCGCCCCCCCGTCCCACCCTTCCTTACTCCGCCCTTCCCTACTCCGCCCCCCTACGCCACGCCCCCCGTCCCGCCCCCCCGTCCCGCCCCCCCGTCCCGCCCTTCCCTACTCCGCCCTCCTACGCCACGCCCCCCGTCCGCCCCCCCGTCCCCGCCCCCCCGTCCCGCCCTTCCCTACTCCGCCCCCCCTACGCCACGCCCCCCTACGCCACGCCCTCCGAATGGGCCCCCCCCTCACCTCGCCCCCCTACCCCGCTCCCCCTACTTCGCCCCCCCCCCCCTACTCCGACCCCACTCCGCCCCCTCCTACCCGCCACCTCCTACTCCGTTCCCCTCAGCCCCGCCCCCCCTCTACACCTCACTACCCCACCCCCAACCCGCCCCCCTTACCCCGCCCCCTACCCCGCCACCCCTTACTCCGCCCCCTACCCCCCTACCCCGCCACCCCTTACTCCGCCCCCTACCCCGCCACCCCTTACTCCGCCCCCTAACCCGCCCCCCTCGACTCCGCCCCCCTCGACTCCCCCTCTCCCCCTCCCGATTCTTAACGAACGGAACGGATAATCGAGAATGGCCGAGGAATCAGAAATCCGATGAGCTGTGAAGCTCTTGTTCACAGGTGTTCCAGTAGGGGCGGCTCAGCAAAAATAATAGGAGTGCAAAGTATAGGAAATGAAAGCTAAATCACTAAACAGATCATTCAAATAAATACAAGAATATAAGTTCAATTTGTATCAGTATAATAAGCAAATCACTACACATAAATCAATGCAATAGATAACGTAAAGAAATACAAATTGCATAAGTACATCAATTCCCAAGCGTGCGTAAGGCAGCAATAACAGTCCCATACCACAGCAAGACAACAACACAGTCACAGCAACACAATTGCCCATTCAACTTTAACTATCAATAAGCACGGTTTGAGGCTCTAAGCTACAAAGAGCGTTTAGCGAATGTGGTTTTGTTATCCCGCGCCAATTCTTCTGCTTGAAGATATTGTTTCCGGAGGTATCTTTTCAGTGAAGTGCTGCCCCCATTGAGGCGTTTATTTTAAGGCGTTCAGTCCAAGGCCGTAATTATAATATATTGGGACACATCTCCACCCAAATAATCAAATACGGTCAAAATGTCCCCCCCCCCAATATATTGCTATAAAATATTTTTTAAAATAATAATTGCGATGCTATGTTAATAAAAACAACAATTTGCTAAACCTTGGCCACAAAATCTGGACTTGTCTTCATATAACAATGCATATATTCATGTTTATATGATTAATGACGTCACGCGATTTTGGACAATTTTGACCCCCCCCCCCCCTCGTCACACGACGTCACAAAAAGTCAGACCCCCCTCAAATATGACGTCACAAAGATCTGCCCCCCCCCAAAAAATAAAACATGCTTCAAATCTCTTTAAACTGTTGTCATTGTAGTGCGTGTTTAATGTGGCCCTGCACTCTGATGTTGTAGGAGAAAACATTTATTAAAAAGTCTATTTAATTAAGTAGAACGTTAAATTTTTATTTAAAGCTTTCGTGACTGCAGGGATTCATATTCTTGGTTCTTTCGGTAGAGTGACGTAGAAGGGAAACAATAAAATAATAACAAATATAAAACAATACAATTCTCACGACGTTTCGACTGCAACACAAGCAATCATCATCAGGTGTGCAAACCACAAGAATATAAGTAGAACGTGTCGTCTATATTTATTTAAAGATTCGCGTTTTGATGTGACGTCACATTTCTCAAACCCACACCCCTCCTCGTCACACATCGTCACAAATGTCTGACCCCTCCCCCCCCTCTAGATACGTGACGTCATTTATGGACGGCCCCTAAACACCTTAACTTTCATTATAAATGCAGAGAGAGACACGCAAATTCCATAGTTCCATTTATGTTGGTATAGCCCTGTGAGCCATTCGGCTCTTGAATCGGGTGCAACCACAACAAACAAAAAATAAAAACATGAATAAGAAAACGTCTTAAAGTGAAATTTTGATTTAAAGCTTTCGTGACTGCAGTAATTCATATTCTTAGCTCTTTAGGTAAAGTCACGTTGTTTTCCCTTCAACGTGACATTACCGAAAGAGCTAAGATTATATCTTAAAGCGACTATGTGTGACTTTGTGCAAACAGAAAATCCAGGGAAAAAAAAACATCTAAATATTCCTGAAAAAAGCACCGTACACCAACGCTGTGTGCAAAAAAAATCCCAGTGGGATGCAAGTCAAACAACAACAACAACCACAAGACAACTTAGATTAAGGCCGTCAGTCTAACTCCGTACTACAACAAAACAAACATACAGCAGGCGATCGGGTCGGGATCGAACCAGGGTCGGATTAAGGCATGGGCTTTCAGAATCAAAGCATGATTCACCATTCGCAAATTCAAATAACTTTTCACTTCATCTCTGGAGGCTCTCCAGCTGGCGGAGGACCCCCTCGGCTGCAGCCCCCTAAAGCCCCCCCCCCCCAGCGCCTTAATCCGGCTCTGGATCGAACTCACGACCTCCGGTTATACCGGGAAAGGAAGTTAACGTCTCGCTACCACGGAAATAAAGGCAGCCTTTTGTGAGCGATGGGGGGCAAACACGAAAAGTACTTGAAAAGAAATTCGTTTTCAGTCGAGAATTACTTGAAAGCGCATCGCTTTTCTCATCGCGGAAGAGCGTTCCAGACGGCCGCAGAAGCGGCGGCCGTCTTTGTTCGATGGTTATCCAAACGTTATCCAAACGTCGCTCAGTCATTTCAATGCTAAATTCTATGCTAATTCCTTTGTCAAGGGGTGCCTCTGTGGATGTGTATGCTTTAACTTTAACATAGCCATTTCTGTGACCAGTCACAAGCTAATCACTCAGTCATTTCAATGCTAAATTCTATGCTAATTCCTTTGTCAAGGGGTGCCTCTGCGGATGTGTATACTTTAACTTAGCTATTTCAATGAGCCATTTCAATGCTAAATTATATGCTAATTCCTTTGTCAAGGCGCTTTGTTTCTTCTCACACAGCTTAAAGGTCGTGATCTGAGCGTGGCTTTTTTCACTCCAGCGCTGTCCTCCAGACAGTCTCGTCCCTTCACCTGATGAAGGCCGCTTGTGTTGTGGCCGAAACGTCGTGATTTTTGTTATTTTATTTTTTTACCTACGTGACTTTACCCAATAGAACCAAAGAGTATGGATCCTTGCAGTCACGAAAGCTTTAAATCTAGAATATCCAAACGTCGCTGCTGTGAGGATGACCGGAGTGAGCATGGATGGATTATGGGGCCGTTCATAAATGACGTCACGCACCTAGGGGGGTAGGAGGGGGGGCGGTCAGACATTTGTGACGATGTGTGACGAGGGGGGGGAGGGGTTGAGAAATGTGACGTCACATCAAATGCGAAATGTGACGTCACATCAAAATGCGCAACTTTAAATAAATATTAAATTAAGTAGAACGTGTCGTGTATATTTATTTAAAGTTGCGCATTTTGATGTGACGTCACATTTCTTAACCGCCCCCCCCCCCATCGTCACAAATATCTGATGTCATTTATGGACGGCCCCCAAACCCACTACAATCTGAGTACGACGTTTCGCCAGTAATTACGGCCAGCACCATCAGGCGACAGGCGGCTGTTGTGAAACGTCATCCCATCAGCTGTCCCCGAGTGAACTGGGGGAATCGATGCACTAAATCGATTAATTCGGTCATCGATTCCTACAAAGCGCGAAAAACAATTAATTGAATCGAAAGCGCGTAATCGGTAAAATTGCGGTCATCGATTCCCTACGCGCCCGAAATCTTGTACAGTAACCACATTTCTATAGAATCGATTCCCCAGTAAAGCAAAAAACATCGCTTAATCGATTCTCTGCTTCCCCACCACATCCACAATCGGCTTCACCGCCTCAACTAAAACCGATTCGCAAAAATCGAATTAATATAAATCGTTAAACCGATTCACACGTGCGGGCTGGCGCTCAACGCATTCCCCTCGAACGGAATCGATTCCTAGAATGTATGAATCGACATTAGATCGAAAATCGATTCTCTCTCCCACACTCCCTTCCCCAATGTTGGGGTTGGTTTTGGGTCGCGGGCGGAGACGGTGGAGGAGTTGGTGGTGAGGGCGTCAGAGTTTAGTGGTGGTGAGGGTGGTGAGGGCGTCAGAGTTTAGTGGTGGTGAGGGTGGTGAGGGCGTCAGAGTTTAGTGGTGGTGAGGCCGTAATAGTTTAGTTGTGGTGGTGGTGAGGGTGTGAGTTTAGTGGTGGTGAGGGTGGTGAGGGCGTCAGAGTTTAGTGGTGGCGAGGGTGGTGAGGGTGTGAGTTTAGTGGTGGTGAGGCCGTAAGAGTTTAGTTGTGGTGGTGAGGCCGTAAGAGTTTAGTGGTGGTGGTGAGGGTGTGAGTTGGTGGTGGTGAGGCCGTAAGAGTTTAGTTGTGGTGGTGGTGGTGAGGGCGTCAGAGTTTAGTGGTGGTGAGGGTGGTGAGGGCGTCAGAGTTTAGTGGTGGTGAGGGTTCCCGAGTTAGTTGGTGGTGGTGAGGGCGTCTGAGGTGGTGGTGGTGAGGGTGTGAGTTTAGTGGTGGTGAGGGTGTGAGTTTAGTGGTGGTGAGGGTGCCCGAGTTAGCTGGTGGTGGTGAGGGGCACGGCGGGTGGCGTAGTTTAGAATCCATTCGTTGTTTAGGAAGGTGGGCGGGTGGTGGTGGCGGCGATCTTCACCAACCCTAAGAAAGTTACAGGGAAGGGGGCAGCAGCGGCGGCGGCGGGAGGTCGGGGGGCTCAGTGGGGTGGTGAGGAGGTCTGCGAGGGCTGTCGGGGGTGGTGAGGAGCACGTGGCAAGCGATGGCGCCAACTACCTGGCGACGA